CAGCTGTATACATTATTCATATTCAGTAATCACGTTGAGTTGGACTTTTCCTTTCCATGTGGCAAACACACTGTATTATTTTTTTTCCTAGAAAATATAGCTTTAATGCAGCTGTTGTCTTTTCCACCAAGAGATTTGCCATCTGTCTTCCCTTCTGACTTGACATTGAAAACATCTGGAGAGCTTTGAAAAATATAGATCTTGAGTCCATAGGTCTAGGGTGAGACTCTGGAATCTTTTGTTTATAAAGCTCTACCAGTGAATCTTATGATCAGCCAGACTTGGGAACCACTGTTCCAAAACATGTGTGTTGGGAGTCCCTAAAACCACTCACAGGTTCAGTGATTCTCTAGGAGAACTCACAGGACTCAGCATACAGTGGTACTCATGGCTATGATATATTATAGTGAAAGGATATAAAGAACAATCAGCTAAGGGAAAAGAAAAGCACATGGCGTGAAGCCTGGAGGAAACCAGGCATGGACTTCAAAGAGTATTCTCCCTGTGTCCTCCCTAGGCCATGCTTAATTTTTCCTAGCGTGGAATTGAGACAAGTGCAGAATGCTGTCTACCAAGAAGCTCACCAGAGACTCAGTGTCCAAGATTTTCACTGGGGGCTGGTCACATAGGCACCCCCTGCTTAGCGTGATCCAAAATTGCAGACTCCCAGAAGAGAAGCAGGTGTTCAGCATAAACCACATTGTTTGTGCAAATAGGTTAGGCCCAGTGAGCCACTCTTACCAATTAGGGAATAATAGGAACTCTCCCCAAATTCAAATTCCCAGATGCTGGCTAAGGGCCAACCTTGCAAAAAGACCATTCTTAAAGAAAGCAGTCTCTCGGGGCCTGTTATGTTAATGATTTTCTACACAGTGAGTGAACCAAGTTTCTGTATTGGGTAGGAGGAAAAACGTCCAGATGAAAATGGAGATTTTCATGGTGATGAAGTGTGATATCCTATTCCTTAAGGATTTTAGTAAAATTCATGCACTGACTTGAATAGGAAGCAGGCCATCATGAATGCAGGGTATGGACCACTTGACTCTCCAAGACCAGTTAGGCCATGGCTCTAGTCTGGGCTTATTAAAGAAGAGATAGCTGGCTTGTAGGTGCAGATGTCCTCAAAGATCACAGAGACTTTGGATCAACATGCAGCTATTCACTCACTTTTTATGTTCTATTCCCCTTTCCAGTTTTCCAAATGGGATTGCTTCTTCTCTAATTTCTGGAAAGGCACAATTTTAAGTAATGAGATTGGGTGATCAAAGCCTATTTCACATCCAAGTCACTGAAAGCTGTGGGTCACATGACTCCCCTTCAAATGCCCCCAAAGAAACCATAATTTTGGAACTCAACCTTGTGGGCCACCAGGAATATTCTTAGGCATACATTCTTCGTTAGCAATACTTGGTATGACACTTTAGTTTTGTGCAGCCAGAGGCATCTCCCGGTATCTACAACCTCCCAAGATTACCTATCAGAACCTTCTGCTTTCAGGTAGGTGGATGGCAAAATCAAAGGGGAGTCAAGGTTATTTATTCTCATGGGAAATTTCCAGATGGAGACTAGATGTTTATCCGAGCATTTCATTATTCAACGGTATTTCATTATTCAATTTGCACATTTTCTTTCTTCAAAACAATTAGCCTTTCTTTTAAGTTCGTTTCTATTTACTTTTATTCAGTTCACTTATTCAGGTGAATAGTGGCACAGCATGTCTCATGTACAAAACCTTCTTGAACCTAATGACAGTCATCATTCAGCCTTGCTTTTCAAGGTGCAAAAGCTCCTTCTTATTGGACCTGTTTTCCATGATTTTAATCACTTCCATGATTTTAACCACTTTTCTCTCTTTTTCCATTTCTGTACATCCTTCTTAAAAGTGTGGTAACCAAAATTGGACTCAATGTTTTTCAACACAAATATACTACAGTCTGATATATATAAATTCTCTACAAAAACTTGAAAAAGATGTATATTATATATTTTAAAAATTATTTTAAAAACATGAAACATGTATTCATATGTTCTTTCCTTCTTCAAATTCATTGGTAAAAATTCCTTCTTTAAATTCATTTCCTTCTTTAAATTCATTTAGATTCCATATATATGTGTTAGCATGCGGTATGCTAAATTATATTGACCATATATTGGGGCATAATCCCCTGTCTGTTAGGATTCAGTTTTTAAAATGTCTATTAAGAAGCAAGGGTCTTTGGCAGTAAATACATTACTAACTGTTCAAAATTAACTATAAGCAAATAGCTGAGAAAAACAGCTCTGTATGTGTAAGAGTAATTCACAGCACTGAGGAAAAACCACCCCTCAATCCCGGTTGTCAAACTTTGCCTAACTACAGATTGTCACTATACTTTCCTGTCACTGAAAGCCCATACTGTGTTTTTTCTCTAATAGTACTCCTTCGTGTTGCCGACTTATTTTCAGCTTGTGGTCCACTGTAATCTCTAGCTCTTTTTTGCTATGCTCATTTCTCCATTTCTCCCTGTCTTTCATTTGAAAACCCTCTGTCATCAGCTTGTTACTGAATATATCTATAGCTATACATCTTCCTTCCTATATTGAGAATATTGATATTGATATTCTCAAAATCAAAATAATTTAAAATTGTATTTCCATAACTAAGGGTATTCTCAACTTTACCTAGTTTCATGACTTTGAGAAATTTGATGAGGTAGGTCTTGATATTTTCACCCAAGAAATAAATATTTCGAATAAAGCGAGTCAGGGACTGATCTGGGTAGGTAGGATACATGGGACAGATCTAGAGTATTAGGAGTTTCTACTGAGAAGTCTAGTGTTGTAGCCTACATAAATTTCAGAGTGATACAAACATCCAAGAATTTTTTTCCCCAAAGTATATTCTCAAACTATAAAAATATCATTCAACAAAAACAAAAGAGAATTCCAAAACAATGAAGAAGGCTTGGAAGGGAATCCGGGACGTTTTTTGAAAAGTGGACCTTTCAATACCAGCAGGCCTAGCTGTTTAATTGCAAGGCAAGTATTGTGGTACAGTGGTGTCAAAGAATGACATTAACTGTGTCACCAGTGTTTATCTTCCTCAGTAGGAAATAGTAGGGGTACGTGTGTGTGTGTGTGTCTGTGAATATATATGTATACTGTCTGGGGTGAGTGGAACATGAGGATGGAAGAGTGTGAGCCCACTGAGTTTGTTTTATGATGTATACCTTTTCCAAATGGGATCTTAAAACACATATCCTATAGATGACCACTTGATTTGGGTAGCTAATATGGTATATGTATTTCATCGTTTCACATCTTTATAGTTGCCTCCATTCTTGAATGGAGTTTCAGGGCAGATATTTCCTTTTAATCCTTTTTAAAAAGAATCACAAATATGATTGAACCATAGAGTCACATTCCACCTCTTTTAATTCTCCCATTCCCACCAGAAACATTTTGTTAAAAGCTCAGGTTTGATAAACCCATAGAAACTGAATTGTGAGAATTATCATAAGGGGAAAAGAATGAAAACCTATGGTATAGGGGATTATAGAAAGCCATAGTTTACTTCTGAAAGAAAGGGTAAAGGGATACATTTATTAGAAAAGGAAGCTAAAGAATTAAAGATGGCAAGATTCTTTTAAAAGATTGAGCCTGAACTGAAAGCATTTATCATGGCACACTCACAAGTTGCCATTTATGGTACTGTTGGCTGAGCTTGGCCAAGTGGCAGGGATGCACATAAGGCGCTTCTTATGTTAGGGTGAGCGTGGCTGGACTTGGAAAAGATAGCTCGCCTGCAGCCTGAATGTAGATTCTGTAAGAAGTCCCACTGTTACTCAGAAAGCACTGTTACTCAACATTCTCCTACTTATGCAGGATAAGCCACTCAAAGTAGTCCAGCTAGAAAGATCCGGTATCTGAGCAAGGCCAAGTTGAATTGTGATAAGCCACTTGTTTCTGGGTAATACAGCTCATTATCTAATAAGCATCATTCCTGATCATTAAAACATAGGGATAAAAGCTCCTCTTGGAAGGATCCAGGGGATCTGCTGCTGGCAAAGTGTTGCGCAGTGTCAGAGTAGCAGATAGAATTGGACTTGATTCTGCAAGACTTCATGACAATAGTCAGTATAAAGACTCTTAGAATAAGTTTTTTTAAAAGTTCCTCCATTTCTTCCCATGTTATGGGGAAAGGGCTTCAGCATTGTTTAGGACTGGCTTGCATATAATAGTAAAATGATAAGACATGTCAAATGGCGGAATAAAGCCCCAGAGCTCTCCCAGTTTGGGGAATCCATTATATCTTAGAAACAAGAGATTTATGTTTGAGATTACTGATCCACTCAATTTTTCTTCACTTACATTTGATTTTTCAAAGGTTGGACTTACTGGGAAATGGGGACAGTTCTGCTGTGACATTAAATACTGTATTAAAAACTCACCTTGGTATTTAGTGCACTGACTTCCAGGGAATTTACTTAAGCCCACATTTCATTTTATTTTATTTTATTTTTTAAATACCTTTATTGGAGTATAATTGCTTCACAATGGTGTGTTAGTTTCTGCTTTATAACAAAGTGAATCAGCTATACTTATACATATATCCCCATATCCCCTCCCTCTTGCATCTCCCTCCCACCCTCCCTATCCCACCCCTCTAGGTGGTCACAAAGCATGGAGGTGATCTCCCTGTGCTATGCGGCTGCTTCCCACTAGCTATCTGTTTTACATTTGGTAGTGTATATATGTCCATTGCCACTCTCTCACTTCGTCCCAGCTTACCCTTCCCCCTCCCCGTGTCCTCAAGTCCATTCTTTACATCTGCGTCTTTATTCCTGTCCTGTCCCTAGGTTCATCAGAACCATTATTTTTCTTTTATTAGATTCCATATATATGTGTTAGCATGCGGTATTTGTTTTTCTCTTTCTGACTTACTTCACTCTGTATGACAGACTCTAGGTCCATCCACCTCACTACAAATAACTCAATTTTGTTTATTTTTATAAGCCCACATTTCATTGTAATCAAAACCAAATACTAGAATATGTTATTCCCTAAATAGGCAGCAATGTATTTTATTTTATAAGCACTGTAGAGATTTAGTAAATAGCATGTGTGATTAATTTAGAAACAACCTCTGACACTTGACTCAATACATGTAATAGCTTCCTTTTCATTTTTTATATGAGTTAAATGCAGACCAGGGAGCCACTGGGCAGTCAGTCCTGAGTAGGTTTGTAATCTTGGGCTCCATGGGAATATCTTTCATAAAAATAAAAAAGGAATGGGTTGGTGTTTCTATTAAAAGATTCTGTAATGCTAGGACTTCTACACAGCTTAAATAATGGTTGGAGGGGGTTCATTGTTTGAGGAGAAATGCTCAAATGTTACTTTAGTCACTTGTGGCGCCATTGGATTAGGATGCACACTTGGCTTAGAATATCGTTTACATCATTACTTTGTTCTGTTGAAGACCTATGACATGCAAACAATTCAGCATACTCTCAAAAATACATGTAGTATGCCCAGTAAAATACATTGGCTAGCATAAAAATCAAAGGAAATAGGAGTTTGGAATATCGATCAACATTACTGGGGTTTTGAATTGTGAAATAATCAACAATCCTGCCCATCTTATCTCGGAAGATAAACTTGAACTTGTCACTAGTTTTCATTGTCAGGTCACTGTAGTCAACGTTATCGCTGGAAATCTCAATGCTGGCCAAGCTGATCTTCCGTTTAAAGCTGGAGATGGAGCTGTTGATGATGTTAGTGATGTTGACTTCTTCCACTTCCTTTGCCTTCCCCTAGTTCATAAACAGGGCAGTTAGATTGATAGACTTGACTCAGCAAAATAAATAAGTGGGTATTTATATACTTAGAGGCCTTAGTATTGAATAATTAGGTTTAGGAGAGACCAGTACTGAGTGCCTCATAAATTGGCTGGTAAGCAAGATTTGGCAGTCCTATTATCCTGTTTATAGGCACCTGTCCCTAGGTCATCAGCTTGTATAATGGGAAGAATAACCATTGCCCATTCTAGGTGTGCAGGGCCGTGTGGTAAATGTTAATTGCTCAGACCTTGAAGCTAGCTGACCTGGGTTCAAATCCCATTCTGCCTCTCACTATTGTGAAATTTTAGTCACCTTAATCCCTTTAGAACTCAATTTCCTTGCCTGCAAAATGTTGATGACATTAATACTACCTCTTGAGACTGATGGGAAGATTAACTGGCATAAATTATGTAGAGCATTTAGTAGGTGTTTGATGAATTCCATTCTATTCCTGGGAGGAGGGAATAATTGATTATGAGAGTTAATAGAAGTCAGCAGTGTCTTAAGGGCTTTGCCACACAAACAGAAATAGTGATGCTCCTTGCAGTCCCATGGAGTTGCCATTCTCCACCATGGCTGGGACAACATAGACTTGGAAGAAAACTCCACGGTACGCAGAGACAACCTGGTCTGGGAAGAAAGCTCCATGGGACACAGAGGCAACCTGGTACCAGAGCAGAGTCTGGGTGGGGTGGCGGCAGCCATTGTTGACTCTTACTCAAGCAGCACCTCAGGAGCAGCCCAGGGCTCTGACAGTGGCTGATTCACCATAGCTCACCACCATACCCCATACACACAGAGTCCACACAAGTCCTGCTTGCCCTGTTGTTTGGCTCCCCGACAGGGCGGGGGTGGCAGAGGCTGGGGGAATGATCAGCTATGAAGGACAAGGGGACTTAGACTCAAGGCTTCATCTGAGCAGAGGAAGGGCAACAATTGCTGGTGCCTGCACAGGCAGTACATCAGAGGGCAGTACACTCAGCCCTCTCTCTGCAGCCTACCCAAGCCGAGAGCCCCCACAGGCCTCCCTTGCTTCAGTACTTCCCCAGTGCTGGGAGAGGGGAAAACATACATTTAAAGGGGACAGAGCCAGCATGGGCCCAACCCTCAGGGCTTCTGCTCCAGCAACTTGGGATCAGATCCCACCACCAATAGGGTGGTGATGGCCACTGAGCAGAAGGGAAGTCACACTTCACAACAGGCTCTAGCTCTAGCCCCTCCATTTCCAGTCCCACCTTCTGCGAAGGTGATAGCTGCCAGCACACCCTGAGGAAAGACATGACATGCATCAACACCAAATCCAGCAAAAGCAATGGGCACATGCACTCTGTATAGGGACACATCCACATAAGGATGCCCGTGCAAGACTGCAATAGGTAACTGTTTCACCTAAACTCATAGAGGCAGAGAAATTTAAGCAAAATGAAAAGGCAAAGGAACTGGTCTCAGTTGAAAGAGAAAGAGAAACCCCCTGAAAAAATAAATAATGAAACAGAAATAAACAATACCAGATAAAGAATTTATAACATTGGTAATAAGAATGTTAACTGAATTAGGGAAAAGAATAGATGAACGTGGTGAGAATTTTAACAAGGAACTAAAAAACTATAAAGAAAAACCCAATCTTGGGAATTTCCTGGTGGTCCAGTGGTTAAGAGTCCATGCTCCCACTGCTGGGGGCCCAGATTCAATCCCTGGTCAGGGAACTAAGATCCCACAGGCCACATGGCGTGGCCAAAAAAAAAAAAAAAAAAAAGACCCAATCAGAAATGAAGAATTCAATACTGAAATAAAACTCACACTAGAAGGAATGAAGCAGACTTAATGATACAGAAAAATGCAGAAGTGGTCTGGAAGATAGAAAATGGAAATTACCCAATCAGAACAGCAAAAAGAAAAACAAATTAAAAAAAAATTAGAATAGTTTGAGAGATATCTGGGATAACATCAAGTGTATCAGTGTTCACATTATAGGGGTCCCAGAAGGAGAAGAGAAAAAGAGAAGGGGATGGAAAATGTATTTGATGAAATTATGACTAAAAACTTCCCAAACCCAGAAAAGGACCAAATATCCAGGTACAGGGAACACAGAGGGTCCCAAGCAAACTGAACTCAAACAAACTCACACCAAGACATAATTAAAATTCCAAATGTTAAAGAGAGAATTCTAAAGGCAACAAGAGAAAAACAAAGAATCATATACAAGGGAACCCACATAAGGCTATCAGCTGATTTCTCTGCAGAAACTTTGCAGGCCAGAAGGGTGTGGTATAATACATTCAATGTGCTGAAAGGGAAAAACCAGCAACTTAGGTTATATTACCCAGCAGGATTATTATTTAGAATTGAAGAAGAGATAAAGAACTTCTAAGACAAGCAAAAACTAAAACAATTAATCAATAATAAGCCTACCCTAGAAGAAATGTTAAAGGGTCTTCTCTAAGTGGAAAAGAAGAATCTAGAGGAAAGGGAAAATCCCACTAGGAAAGGCAAATGTATAGTAAGAATTGAGGACCAACCACTTAAGCCAGTGCGAAGATTAAAAGACAAAAAATTGTAAAAGCAACTATAACTGCAAAAACCAGTTGAAGGATAAACATGAGATGCAAAATATGACATCAGAAACACAAAATGTGGGGGAGGGGAGTAAAAAATGTAGATCTTTTACAGTGTGTTTGAACTTAAGTGACTACAAGTTTAAAACAAGTAGGTATAGTTATAGGTCAATATATATGAACTCCATGGTTGCTACAAGTCAAAAACCTACAATAGATACACAAAAACTAAAAAGAAAGGAACATAAGCATATTATTAAAGGAAATCATCAAACCACAAGGCAAGAAACAAAAAGAGAAGAACTGAGAAGAACCAGAAAAACAACTGGAAAAGAAGTAATAAAATGGTAATAACTACATACCTATCAGTAGTTACTTTAAATGTCAGTGGACTAAATGCTTCAATCAAAAGACATAAGGTGGCTGATTGGGTTAAAAAACAAGACCCACCTATATGCTGCCTACAAACGAGCTAAATACAGACAGACTGAAAGTGAAGGAATGGAAAAAGATATTTCATGCACACAGAAATGACAAGAAAGCCAGGGTAGCAATACTCATATCAAACAAAATAGGCTTTAAAACAAAGTCCATAACGAAAGACAAAGAAGGGCATTATATTAATGATAAAGGGATCAATACAAGAAGAGGATATTACACTCGTTAGCATAAATGCACCTAATACAGGAGCGCCAAAATATGTAAAGCAAATACTAACAGACATAAAGGGAGAAATTGACAGTAATACAATAATAATGGGGGACTTTAACACCCCATTTACACCAATGGACAGGTCATCCAGACAGAAAATCAGTAAGGAAACAGTGGTCTTAAATGACACATTAGACCGGTTAAACTTAATAGATATCTATGGGACATTCCATCCCAAAACAGGAGAATAAACCTTCTTTTCATGTGCACATGGAACTTTCTCCAGGATAGATCATATGCTAGGTCACAAAACAAGTCTCAGTAAATTTAAGAGGACAGAAATTATATCAAGCAGTTTTTCCAACCGCAACAGTATGAAACTAGAAAGTAATCACAGGAAGAAAATTGGAAAAAAACAAAAACATTTGAAGACTAAACAAAATGCCACTAGAAAACCAATGGGTCAATGGATACATCTAAGAGGAAGTCAGAAAATACCTCAAGACAAATGAAAATGGAAACAAAACTTTCCAAAATCTATGGGATGCAGCAAAAGCAGTTCTAAGAATGAAGTTTATAGCAATACAGGCCTTTCTCAAGAAACAAGAAAAATCTCAAATAAACAATCTAATCTACCATCTAAAGGAATTAGAAAAAGATGAACAAGCAAAGCCTAAAGTTAGCAGAAGGAAGGAGATAATAAAGATCAGAGAGGAAATAAATAAAATACAGAGGCCAAAAAAATAATAGGAAAGATCAATGAAACCAAGAGCTGCGTTTTTTAAAAAGATAAACAAAATTGATATAAACCTTTTAGCCAAGCTCACCAAGAAGAAAAGAGAGAGAACCCAAATAAAATAAATGAAAGAGGAGAAATAACAACTGATACCACAGAGATACAAAAAATCATAAGAGAATACTACAAACAGTTATATGCCAACAAATTGGACAACCTAGAAGAAATGGACAAATTTCTAGAAACATCCAGCCTGCCAAGACTGAATCAAGAAGAAACAGACAATTTGAACAGACCAATCACTAGTAGTGAAATTGAATTTGTAAAAAACAAACAAACAAAACTAAACTAAAAAACCTCCCAGCAAACAACAGTCCAGGATCAGACTGCTTCACAGGGGAATTCTACCAAACATATAAAGAAGAGCTAATACCTATCCTTCACAAACTATTCCAAAAAAACTGAAGAGGACAGAACACCCCCAAATTCATTTTATGAAGCCACCATTACCCTGATACCAAAACCAGGCAAAGACACTACAAAAAAAATTACAGTCCAACATCTCTGATGAATATAGATGCAAAAATCCTCAAGAAAATATTAGCAAACCAAATCCAACAATATATAAAAAGGATCATATACCATGATCAAGTGGGATTTATTCCAGGGATGCAATGATGGTTCAGTGTTTGCAAATCAATCGATGTAATACACCACATTAACAAAAGGAATGATAAATATCACATGATCATCTCAATAGATGCAGAAAAAGCATGTGATAAAACATCCATTCATGATAAAAACTCTCATCAAAGTTGGCATAGAAGGAACATATTTCAAAATAATAAGGGTCAATTTTTACAAACCTACAGCTAACATCATACTCAATGATGAAAAGCTGAAAGACTTTCCTCTAAATTTAGGAACAAGATAAGGATGCCCACTCTTACCACTTCTATTTAACATAAATAAAAGACATCCAAATTGGAAGAGAAGAAGTAAAACTGTCACTACTTGCAGATGTCATGATACTTTACATAGAAAACCCTAAAATCTCCACCCAAAAATTATTAGAACTAATGAATTTAGTAAAGTTGCAGATACAAGATTAATATACAGAAATGTGTTGCTTTTCTATGCACTAATAATGAACTATCAGAAAGAGAAAGCAAGAAAGCCATCCCATTTAAAATGGCATCAAAAAGAGTAAAATACCTAGGAATAAACTTAACCAAGGAGGTGAAAGACCTATACTCTGAAAACTATAAAACACTAATGAAGAAAACTAAAGATGATACAAAGAAATGGGAAGATGTCCCATGTTCATGAATTGGAAGACGTAATATTGCTAAAATGTCCATATTACCTAAAGCAATCTATGTATTTAATGCAATCACTATCAAAATACCCATGACATTTTTCCCAGAACTAGAACAAATAACCCTAAAATTCATATGGAACAAAAAAAGACCCCAAATTGCCAAAGCAATCTTGAGAAAAATGAACAAAGCTTGAGGTATCACCCTCTCTGACTTTAGACTGTGCTATTATAAAGCTACAGTAATCAAAATAGCACTGGCACAAAAACAGACACACAGATCAATAGAATAGAACAGAATTGCCTATGGTTAATTAATCTATGACAAAGGAGAAAAGAATATGTAACGGAGAAAAGACAGTTACTTCAACAAGTGGTGCTGGGAAAACCGTACAGCTTTAAAAGAATGAAATTAGAACATTTTGTCACACCATACACAAAAATAAACTCAAAATGGATTAAAGACCTAAATGTAAGACCTGAAACCATAAAACTCCTAGAAGAGAACATAGGCAGAACACTCTTTGACATAAATCATAGCAATATTTTTTGGATCACTTTCCTAAGACAAAAAGAAACAAAAGCAAAAATTAAACAAGTGGGACCTAAAATTAAAAGCTTTTGCACAGCAAAGGAAGCTATCAATAAAGTGGAAAGATAACTTACTGAATGGGAGATAATATTTGCAAATGATATGAACAACAAGGGGTTAGTATCCAAAAATACATAAACAGGGACTTCCCTGGTGGCACAGTGGTTAAGAATCCGCCTGCCACTGCAGGGGACACGGGTTCAAACCCTGGTCCGGGAAGATCCCACATGCCGCGGAGCAACTAAGCCCGTGCGCCACAACTACTGAGCCTGCGCTCTAGAGCCTGTGAGCCACAGCTACTGAAGCCCACACACCTATAGCCCATGTTCTGCAACAAGAGAAGCCACGGCAATGAGAAGCCTGCGCACCGCAATGAAGAATAGCCCCTGCTCGCCACAACTAGAGAAAGCCTGCACGCAGCAACGAAGACCCAATGCAGCCTAAAATAAATTAATTAATTTTTTAAAAAAGTAAGCTAAAAAAACAAAATAAAACAACAAAAAAACCCAAAATATGTAAACAGCTCATACAACTCAATATCAAAAAAAACAAACAACCCAATCAAAAAAATGGGCAGAGGACCTGAACAGACATTTTTCCAAAGAAGACAAAAAGATGACTAACAGGAAAATGAAAAGATACTCAACATATCTAATTATTAGAACAATGCAAATCAAAACAATAAGATATCACCTCACATCTGTCAAAACGGCTATCAGCAAAAAGTCTACAAATAACAAATATTGGCTAGGATATGGAGAAAAGGGAATCCTTGTACACTGTTGGTGGGAATGTAAGTTGGTGCAGCCACTATGGAAAACAGTATGGATGTTCCTCAAAAAACTGAAAATAGAACTACCATATGATCTAGCAATTGCACTCTTGGGTATATATCCAGGTAAAAATGAAAGCACTAATTCAAAAAGATACATGTATTCCAATGTTCACAGATGCACTATTTACAATAGCCACGATATGGAAGCAACCCAAGTGTCCCTCGACAGACAAATGGATAAAGAATATGTGAGATATATATATATATATATATATATATATATATATGAAATATTAGCTAGCCATAAAAATGAATGAAATTTTGTCATTTGCAGTAATGTGGATGGATCTAGAGAATATTATGCTTAGTGGAATAAGTCAGACAGAGAGACAAATACTGTGTGATATCACTTATATGTGGAATCTAAAAAATAAAACAAATGAATGTAAATAGCAAAACAGAAACAGATTCACAGATATAGAAAAGAAACTAGTGGTTATGAGAGGGGAGAAAGAAAGGGGAAGGGGCAAGATAGGGGTATGGGATAAGGTGATATAAACTACTGTGTATAAAATAGATAAGCAGCAAGGATATATTGTACAGAACAGGGAATATTAGCCATTATTTTGTAATAACTTTTAATGGAGTATAATGTATAAAAATACCGAGCCATTATGCTGTACACCTGAAACTAATATAATATTGTAAATCAACTCTACTTCAATTAAAAAATAAATTTAATTTAAAAAATAAATAATTTTTAAAAAAAGAAAGCCTACAGGGAGTAAAATAAATGAAATACATATTCTTTGGCTGGCACATATGATCATTTGCCTTTGGTACTTGAGTAATATAATTGTGAAACCTTGTTCACAATAGTTAAACACAAGAGAAAAGGCAACTGGATCTTTGGGCTATTCTGAATCCTCATTTCCTCACCATTGGACCCTGTGCAGTCCTGGCACTTTGCTGAAGTAGGGCAGCTCTTCTGCACTGGATCCCTATCATTTTTTTGCCTGTTAGCAGGAGCTTTAGTATGCTAACGTCTATCAAATTGGGCTTCCAAAGAATCCCAGGGTTCCGTAGGCCTGCAGAGAATAATAGTTAAGGGCATGGCCCGTTGCCCACTTCAAGTGGGAATAACAGGTAAGTGTCAGGCTTCGGAGCCAAGCAGATTTGGCTGGTGCGAATCCCAGCTCTGCCTCTTACTGTCTGTGTCCCCTTGGATAAGTCACTTATCTTTCCATACTCGGATCCCACAACTATAGAAATGGAGATAGCCTTACTGGGTTGTTACGAGCATTTTAAATGATATAATATTTTCAAAGAGCTTGTGACTGTGTCTGGCACATACATGCTCAATTGATAATAATCATTATTATTATTCTGAGAGCTGGACCATGGTGTTTCACAGCTAAGTCAGATAATAAGTCTTTCCCTGTTAGCAGAAAAATACGCTAATTACGAAATTTGCCACAATTTAATTTTTCCATACATTTTTCAGTAGACCATTACTTGTATAATTTAGGAAAACAAAAATGCGACAAATGAATAAATATTAAATACATATTAATCTGAAACATAAGCAGCTGATCATGTTAGGTTTGATACTGGGTTTTTCATGGATGCTTGTTCTTACGGTTGTGATTTTATGTTGCATACAGATAACACCGTTATTTTCTGCTGGAAATGTAAACATATTAATATCTCACTGTATTTGGTGAAAAGAGCAGTCTTTTTTAAAAGGTGTCATGACTTCCAGATTCCCCCCAACTGAACAAGGATGAGAATCACTGGTGCAAACTGAATCACTGGGGATCGGGAACCAGGTCCAGGTCATCTCTACAGACCAGTATGTGGCACAGGTGATGAATCATATGTAGGGCCCTCAAAATTCTTACCCTATCTTTGGCTGCCATCTGCTGTAGGGAGCTGTAGTGGGCAACTGCATATTCCAGGAGGGCCCCAAACACGAAGCTAAAGCAGATCCCCAGGTACACGTCAATGGCCTTTATGAAGCAGTTGGTGTTCGGAAGAGAAGTGCGGGACCCAATCATCAGTGTGGTCATTGACAATACAGTGGTCACTCCTGGGAAAAAAAGTAAGCAATGTACCCACGTCAGTGGGCAGTGAACCTTCCATCACCCCCTGGCAGACTGTCTCCCTTCAAGACTTGGCAAGGTGAGGACAGGACTCAGAGCATAGCTCATTCTGAAAAGTCTGTGGCCTTCTGGAAAAGGGTTGATTTGTCTATTTTATACAGATATGAGTGATATGATTTTCTAAATGTTCCGCCTTCTGTCTTCTCACTGGAGAGAGGAGTTCAGTAAACAAAATAGCAGACAATAGACCATCGAATCACAATTCTCCCTTATCTGTCACTGTCAAACACAAGTTTAAAAATGCATTATTCCTAAAGTAGTCTCTCTGTCTCTCTTTCTCTCTCTGTAAGAGTCTCTCAGCAAACCAGCTCCTGGAACTGCCCTGGGAATATCAATGAAAACAGTGGTAGAAGGTAAAAAAAACATAAGGACCTAATAACCCAGTTCTTAGAAATCTCCCGTTGGAGCTACTTACCAATGCAGGTTCTTGCAGGAACTGAATCAAGGGAGATCCAAAACGAAACCCAGGATAACACCACCAGGAAAGTGGAAGGAACATAGGTTTCCAAAATGAAATACAGGACATTCCTCTGAAGCTCAAATTGCAAGACCAATCGTGTATAATTTCCTGATAGGGTGAACAAGGGATAGGAAATCATCTCTGCTCACCTAGCAGAGTGGTTTCCCTGTGGGATGTTTAACTTCACTATATTCACATGAAGCCATCTGTTGTTCACCAAAACATAGTTAATCATGAACTGTCATCAGAGTTTCAATGAAAGAAATTGCGGTTGTAGAGAATGGGATTTGTGGGAATGCCCTCACCCAGGATCCTCTTCTTGTGCCTTTCTCTGTCATAGTATTCCTGCAGCATCATAACTGCTGGTTTCCTTGACATCTGCTTCACTGGACTGTGAGCCCCTTGGGGACCTTTTCAGTAGTAGGTGGGGAGCAGGTAAAAGTGCCAAGCCCAAACCCTACTGCCCCACCGCACCTCAGAGGGGTTCCTGGGCCCCAAAGGGACCAAGTGGAAAAAAGATGATATTTCTGACTCAGAATACAACTCAGCTATTTTGCTTTTGTGCAGTTCGTCCCGCGAGTTACCTGTTTCCTGCTGCGATCTGGTAGCTAATGTGAAATACTGCTGTACGGTGTACTGAGCAAGCCGCAGGTTCTCCAGCCCGCGCACAGAGTCATTCCCTCTCAGCCAGCTGAACTCCACGTCGTTCCCATCATAGCCCCCTGGCAAGTGAAACAGTGCCCTGATCAGCAGAAGAAGGTAGCAGATTGAACTGGTCTGGAAAATGCTGTGATATGGAGGAAGCAGAAGCTCTGTCTTGATGGTGCTAAGTCCAAGGATGATCCCATGCAAAATTTGGCATGATTTCTCAAGTGTAATTGCAGTGTCTACTCAGAATGAGATGACCTGCTAGGGCTTTTCACCATCAACTGAGAACCGTTTCTATGCTAAGCATCGTATAGACCTGGTAGATGATAAGCAACTAGAAATGGCCTCTATCATTATTTAAATGATACTTTTGAACATGTATCTGTGAACCCACAAAGGCCTGTGCTAGACATTGCTTTTCAGGACAGTCTAACACCTCGGAGGGGGTTCTCAGGGACTTTACAGTTGGTCTATTCATATTTTCATATTGGCATAAATGCAAAAACAAAAAACCTTCAGCCAGCCACTTTATTGATGTATGTAAACATAGGTTTTGATAAATCCCAAAGCAGTTTTACCAATATACCTGGTGATAGTAATAATAGCTACCTTTTATTAAACATTTATGTCCTTTACACATTATGTCTCCAAGGTTCTCATGAGCTTGCAAGGTAGACCTGCATATTTCTTCATTATTTAAAGCTTTTTAAAAAAGTAAAATAGAAATGGATCTTATACTTGATATATATAAAGTAGAGCTTACATTTTTCCTCAAATGTTATTATTCAATAAATGCTGTGCCTTAGAATTGAGGAACTATAATGTTTTGCCCATTTTATACATGAAAATGATCAGATTCTGAGAGGTTGCATAAGTTTCTCAGGATACCAGTGCAAATGAAAAACAAACCAGGATTGTACCTCAAGAAAGTTGAATACCAAAGCCCATGGATGATGATAATAATAATATCTATCATTTAGTAAGCAATTACCTTTCTAAGTGCTTTACAACATTATCATGTCATTTAATCCTCAAATGATACCTTTGAGAAGATAGATGAATGGTTAATACGCACATGAAAAGATGCTCAAAATCATTAGTCATTAGGGAAATGCAAATCAAAACCACAGTAAGATACCACTTCACATCCACTAGGATGGCTGTAATTAAAAAGACAGACAGCGACAGATGGTGAGAATGTGGAGAAGCTGGAACATTGCTGGTGGAAATGTAAAACGGTGCAACCACTTTGGAAAACAGTTTGACAGTTTCTTGAAGACTTAAACATAAATTTAACCCAGGATTTCAGTCCTAAGTATCTGTCCAACAGAATCAAATCATGTCCGCAAAAGGACCTGTACACAAGTGTTACAGCAGTGTTATTCATAACAGCTGAAAGGCGGAAACAAGCCAAAGAGACTTGTACTACTTGTATTCTTTTGTCTGGAATAAAAAGGAATAAAGCAGTAAAAAGGAATAAAGTACTGATATATGCTTCATCATATATGAACTAAAAAACATTATGCTAAGTGAAAGAAGCCAGATGCAAAAGACCACATGTGGTATGAGTCCATTTATATGGAATATCTAGAAAAGACACATTCATAGAGACAAAAGGTATATTAGTGGTGGTCTGGGAGCTGGTGGTGGCAATGGGGAGTGACTGTAAATGGGCACTAGGAGTCTCTTTGAGGTAATGGAAATGCTCTAACAATGGAATGTGGCAATGGCTGCACAACTCAGAAAATTTACTAAAAACCTTTGAATCGTACACTTAAAATGGTTGGATTTTATGGTATGTAATTTATACCTCAATAAAGCTGTTAAAAATAACTCTTTGAGTCAAATACTATTATTTTTCCTACTTCACTGATGAGGAAACTGAGGTTAATTCTACTCACCCAAAGTCACCCAGCTAGTGAATGGAAAAGCCCAGTGATTCTGGCACCTGTGATCTTAAACCTGGAACTTCATTTTCCAAGGCTACTGAGAAGTGGGATGCCAGTGTTGGGACTAACATTTTGTTAAGTCTTAACCTATGGTATCCACTGTCTGTCAGTGGTTATCTCCCCCTCCATAGTGGGGAGAAGTAGTCATGAGCTCTTAGAGGATTTCCAGGTAAAAATTTTCTGTGCGCTTTCCCTTGGAAGCACCCCCTCGTTTACTGAAGCCAGCTGTCCAAATAGGCCTAGAATCCCAAAGAAAAAACATATCTAAAAAAGTAAGTTGTACAAGCCTCTACTTAGATACTTTGCTATTACAACTGGTAAATGTTCACAGTCATTACATTCTCCCTGCTCTGTCCCTGAGTGGATATGGGCAATTGCGGGATGGTATCAATTCTTGTCTAGGGATGGTGTTCAGGAAAAATGCCCTTGGTGAGGTTTCTGTACCCAAATAACTGCTGGTAAACATTCAGTGAAAGCTTCCTCTGCTCACTGGGGATGATATTTGTGCAAGCAGAGTGCTGAAGTTTCCAGGAGAATCTCACTCCTGGGTTTTGAGATGAGCACAGCCATCCATGGAGGGCAATTGCTTTTTCTATGTGGGGCTGAAAATGAGTTCTCTTTTTGATAACCTCAAGTTTTAGTCTGCCCCCAAACAGCTGTATTGCTTCAAGAAGGTTTTGCATACATTTAATCAATAAGGTAATTAATCTGCCTGGCTGAGTCTTTAATTAAATGTCTACCTCTGAAAAATACTGCCTCATAATGGTTGTGTTTCTTGGATGTTGGCCACTTGTGTCCTTATGTGAGAAGTGCCCAGTGGTTTCCAGCACTTGACTGTAGTTTTTCCTTCTTGCACGAGCCATGCCTTGATACCTTGATAACTCCTATATGCGGCATTTTCTTCCCAGAACACGTATCACTGGTGCCACCTCCCCATGGTGGGCATTTCAGAGTGGTTTACTAAGGAATCATGGAGATCACTCACGGTGCCAGGAGTTCATTTGACACACATCAACTTAGAGTAAATCCTTCTTCCTCAACACAAGCAAATCCCCAGATTGCAGTTTAGATGCCCACTTGCTGACATTACTAGATTAAGCTTTATATATATATCAAACAATTTATTTTAGAAGTTGGAAGCAGTCTTGCAATAAATGTCAGTGATTGTTTTGTATACTTGCCATTTCCAACTTCTGCTGTGTTCTTTCTGGCTTCCATGAGTTAGCAGATTCTGAGACCCCCTCCTAGTCCTATTGACCCCTGTTTGCTTGGCTGTCTTATCCACTTTTAGGTGGAAATATTTGGTGCCAATGCACAGTGGTCCTCTCCCAAAGATGTAATACTGTAAGGTTTGTTTTTGAGCAGTCTCCAGATCTCTCTGGATGTACACCCAGAAGGTCTGAACCCATTGTAATCAACATCAAGGAGAGAAAGGCCACTATGTACAGGACACTCTTCATGAAAGCACAGATCTAAGTCACCCCAGAAAATCATCTAAGGGGCCCACACGATGTATACTCACAGCTTTCTAGTTGCAACTTGCATGTCTGTGTGTCCATGGGGTATTTAGACAGGTCCATGTTACATGCAACAGTTGTTGTGATTCTAAGAAAGGAAAAATGGATTCATAGAGAGTGTTATGAGGATGCTATAGAAAGTATACACTCCCTCTTAAGGGCCACTCCAAGAGTACTTTCACCTTGACTCTTACAGTGAATGTGTGACTTGGTGCCTACATTCAAAGCTGTCCTGAGTTTTTCTGTGCTAAGTGACACCTGTGAGACTCAGTTAAAGCTTGGGGTCCAGAGCGGAGGAAGTTGGAATGTTGGCAATTCAGAGGCAAACTTGCAACAACATTGCAGAACAGAATCATTCACTGGCTTGTTTGAGACGCTTTTTCATTCAGTTTTTAAACTTATTCTTCAGGAGAGACCCACGAGGAGTCCGTGCCTATGCAAAATGCTTCGCATGAATTATCCCTTTGAATTTTTAAAGTAGCTTTACTCGGTAGGAAATATTATTATTCTCCTTTTGCTGCTGAGGAAACTGGAGCTCAGAGAGTCAAGTAACTTGCCTGAGGCCACAGAGCAAGAACTTTTCCCCAAATCTGTCTGACTCTAGAGCCAGGCTATTAATCGTCATCCATCACTTGTAATCCTTGTACAGGATAGTGTGTTATGTGCCATAATACAGACAGACACACACACATGCACACGCACACACACACACGTGCTGTGGGAATACGAGGAAGGGGCACCTTAATACTGACTGGAGTTGGGGTCAAGGGAGAGGTCTATTGGACTTCTTGAAAGAGGTGCTGGCGTTCTGGCTGACCTTTGCAAAATTCAGTGCAGCTAAGGAGTGTCAGATAAACGGTCCGAAAATTCAGTTCATTGCTTAGCTCAGTCCTTGTTTTATAACTTCAGCCTCTCACTTGGGATTTAAGATCAGCCTCATGAATATTTGGTTCCTGGCCTTCTGCTGAAGGCCTCTAGCAGTGTTTGCAGTCCTTGTCCAGCCCTGGCACAGGCAGCGATGAGTCCTCTGCCTGTGGGCTACCTTACATAGCACTTTGGGGGCATCTTCCCTGTTCCTGCCAACCAGCGGCTCGATGAACGATTGGGTGGGAGGAAGTTTTGGCCTCAGGGATTTGTAGAAGGGGCAAAGGGGAGCCTGTGACTACAGGTGGTGAGGCTTGGAGGACTATGCTTTGCTTCTCTGTCTGTACAAGAATGACTCAGCTAAGTAAAGATGTATTCTGGAGCCACCGCCACCCCGCTGAGCCCCATGAAAGGAAAGTTCTTTGTATCACCTCTCTGTTTGCTCTTGCTGTTCCCCTTACCTCTTCTTGGCGAACTTCCTTTAACTCTTTAAGATTCAGCTCAGAGTCCTGTGAAAGCATCCTCTAACATCACCCCGAATCACTAACCTACTCTCCACCTTGGGGCCCCAGCGCCCTGACTTCCTTTCCTTATGTGTCTGTGTCAGGACAGTGTCTTATTCAGCTCCATATCCACAGTGTCCAGCACGGGCCTGGCACAGAGCACACATTCTCAGTAGTAGATTCTTGTTGAGCCAAACTGGACTGAGAAAGGGCCCTGCTGCTCTGGGGACAGGGATCTAAGAAGGCAGGCACATGAGAAGGGTAGGTGGTTATTCGAGCGCTGTTCAGAATACCTTTGCCTTTTCTCCCCGCTCTTTCTCCTCCAACCCTGAGGTCGCGGGTACCCAATTACCTGAGAGCATACAGGACTGTGCCATTGGAGAAGAGGCGGATGAGCCTGTTTCCCACAGTGACCTCATGGAGGAAGGACTTTTTGGACTCCACGATGTAAGTGTCTGGCACCCAGAGGAACTCCACTAGGCGTGCATCCAGAGTGAAGCTCTTGTTGCCTTCGAACACCAGCCGCTGGTCCGTCCAGCGCTGTCTGAGGTATATGGTGGCTGTGTAGTCCTGAGGGGGCAGCCGGTGGGGAGGAAATGGATGGAGGGAGAAAGCTCAGAAAAGGGAAGGAAAAGGGTCAAGTCTTACTCCTCTACCCACCTCCACTGAGGTCAAGAGTATGTACTACAGTAGACATGGGTAAATAAAGTTTGTCTTGAGGTGGTGGCCTGTAGCACTAAGAGAACAAAGCACCTTATAGATTCTGGATAGTAACGCCCACTGCCAAAAGGGGGCCCCACAGGAGCATGTTCAGGGTCTTAACTTACTTGCCCTCGATCACAGAGGCCACACCAAATTGTTGAAGGTTTTGGTGAGCAAGGTGCTTAGGTTGTCTAGGATTTACCCAGAGTCCACAGTGGACCCTCTTGGCAAACTGCCTTTAGTGTCACCTTATCTATAATGTGTTGTCTTAAGTGAGAGGATGGTTGAAAGCAGTTATGTGATTGTTGGTTTTCATCAGCTTGTCTCCCACTCTGTGAGGGGCCATGTGAGATTCAGGCTTCCCCCCCTGCACTTTTATTCTTTTCCCCCACTTTTATCCCTCACCAAGTACACCCACTCCACTCCCTCATTTCTCCCCTCCTAGACTTAGAATCCACTTTCCTTCTGATACTCAGAAGATCTGTTTTACAAACATCTTCCACTGTCTTGAGTTTCAGGATAGGTCTCCAGCTTCTGCCATTCCAAGTAAGTCTCTGTTCTGCTTTGAGTAGCTAGAACATGTATCCTCATAAAACACAGGAGAGGGGCTCCTTGGGTGGAAGACGAGGGGGCCACACTTACCATGTTACTCTCTGAAATACTGGAAATACTTGCAATGTCCAGAGTCAGTGCTATCTGAACAGGTTCTCCTAAGAATGAAGAAAAACCAGAAAGACTTCCATAGAAACACAAACAGATTTCCTAACCCGACATTAGCACAATTAAAAAGTATGCATATATTAGAAAATTATGCCTATTGGAAACTTTTAAACCATTTAGAAGTATATAAAATACTTCTAAATCAAAGGTTAATTTCTATCCTCCCCATCTCAGGAGGAACCACTATGTAGAGTGTGCCTCCCTTTTGTATGAAAAAAATGCACAAATATGTAGTTAGCTAAATACATAAGAGAGAGACCACACTGTATTAATTAGTGTATATTTTAAAGAATGTAGCGGTATTTGCTACTTCTTACTTGGAGGATTTTTTCCTATGGTGCTTTGCAAGGGACTCATTAGCAATGTAATAGAGATTTGGGAATTTGTACACAAATATATTTCCACCCCCAACCAAGTAAATTTACCACAAGATGGCATTCAACACTGCTCATGGTTGAGCTCCCGCTCACCTCCTGACACTTTCCTCCACCTCCTTTATTCTCCAGGAGCCCTAAACTATTTAGAATTGCAGAGCTGTCCACGTTTCACCTGGTGTGCAGATGTTGGGCCTCAATCCTGGAGTCCCAGCAGATGGGCCAAACTCCTGAGAGGGCCTGTCTTAGCTCTCGGGACTGAGGTTTGGGAGCCACCATTCTCGGCGGCCAGGCCAGGCCAGGGACGTTTACTCCTCCTTAGGCTGGACGTGTGGAACAAAAGCCCAGGAGTCAGAAAGACGTGAGTTTCGATCTGGGAAAAGTTACCAGATCCTTCAGAACTGCAGTTTTCTCACCTGCAGGTTTGAATATAATGCTAATGACATCAGACGGTCACGGACAGGGTTAAATGAGACTAGGTGTGTGACAGCTTCTTTGCAGGGTGGTGGCAAGAGAGAACGGACATGAAGTGCCCGCCTAGCTGGACATCTAGAAGGTGCTCAAAAATAATTATCTGTACAAAGCCCCCAGCATTGTTCCTGTCACATCCTACCAGGCACTCAGTAAACAGCATTTCCCTTCCCTTCCCCTCTCCTCTGGTGATCTTAGCTAATTCTGGAAAAGCAAAATCTTTCCTCACCAGGTTAACAGATGGAGTAGCATTCACTTGCACGATAACTGGGGACACCTCTGGAAACTGACAACGCATTAACCAGGAAAAGGAGAGGCCAAATTCAAAGGACGCTTAGAAACAGCAAACTGGGGGGAATCAGACAGAGCAGCCTAATGATCGATTGAAGGAAACCAAGCCAAGGATATAGGTAAGAATTTGGAAGTGGAGTTTTAAAGCCAAAGCAATTAACAATAATTAACTTAATACTTAGTGTTAATACTTGGTGGGAAAGGGGGAGATCTTTGAGGGCAGACCCTGGAAGGTGCTGAAGGAGTTATGGTGCTAAGTGGCTTTCTGCCCCTCAAGGCAGCAAGGTGCAGTGTTAAGAAGAGGAGCTTAGAGTCAGTGTTTGAAACCTCTGCTGGCCACATCATAGCAGTGTGACCTTGAACAAATTGCTAAACTTCTCTTTTCTACAGTTTCTTACCTGTAAAATAGAGCTACTAATGCTAGCCATCAAGGGTTGTGTTGGGAAGGTTACAGGATCTATCTTATGTGCCTGGAACACAGTGGGCAGTGGGTCAGTGCTGGTTGCCCCCCTCCCCGCCCCTTGAGAAACATGGAGAATGGAAAACACACAAGAGCTCCAGCCTCAGTGTGGGTTTTTGTTTGCTTGTTTAGTTTGTTTCTAGGTAGTCTAGTCTAGGCCTTCCTTCAGTTGGCTTTTTTATAGACTGGAGTTTGCTCCTTCTTCCCCTTGAGTTATAAAAGCTAGCTGTGCCACCAGAGGGCAGCTTTCTCCTAGGAAAGAGGTCAAAGCCAGGTTCTGGGCAGAGTTCAGGAGGGCCTGCTTGCAAACCTGTGCTGGCCAGCTCAGTCCCTGAAAAACCCTGTAGAGGTCTTGTCGCTCAAGGACATCAGGGTCCGAGAACTGGGTGGACAGACATTACGGAGAGCAACACTCCCTCCGTGGGCCTCGAGGCTGCCTTGTAAATGTAGGTTCTGTAGAAGGCAGAGTGCCACAGGCTCGTGACAAGGGATGGGGGTTGTGCCTTCCCCTCCTTTTGACTGATGACCCCTTGCCCCATTTTTGTCCCAAGTGGATCTGGGCCTCACGTCCCCTTAGGTCCACTCCAGGCTCAGAATGGGCACCTTGCCCTAGGACTCTGCACCTTGTTGGCCCGTGAGCAAGCAACAAAATGGGCAGTGTCGGGCTTCCCTGGTGGCGCAGTGGTTGAGAGTCCGCCTGCCGATGCAGGGGACACGGGGTTCATGCCCCGGTCCGGGAAGATCCCACGTGCCGTGGAGCGGCTGGGCCCGTGAGCTGTGGCCGCTGAGCCTGCGCGTCTGGAGCCTGTGCTCCGCAACGGGAGAGGCCACAACAGTGAGAGGCCGACGTACCGCAAAAAAAAAAACAAGGAAAAAAAAAAAGGCAGTGTCCTGGCCTAATTTTTTGGGATCTGGGAGGCAGAGAAATTGTTGAGTGGACCCAACCAGATGTGGAGACTCATGTGCTCGTCATTAGTGTTCAGTTGCTCCTGGGAAAACCAGAGGAGGTTGAAGCCCCCCAAGGTCCCTTAACATAAGGACCTCAAATCCTAATTGTGTGGCCAGGAAGCTGCGTCTCTCAGATCTCCAACCGAAGGGGGTGTCATTGGCCCCAGCTGCTGTGCTCTGAAATCTTCCACCACACTTGCTCGGAGGCCATGCTTCCCATGGGCTGCATCCCACCAGGGACTGAGCGTGGCAGGAATACTAAGGCAGGCCTGTTCCTGGGAGGCACAGAGATGGGAGACTCCTCTGATGGGAACTTTAGCTCAAGAACTCCCTGGTGGCCTTTCCAAACACACTTAGAATCGCACTGTAGTCTAAGACTCCTCCACCAGCCTTCCTTCCCTCCCTCCCTCCTTCCACTGGGGTCAGACCTGCATTGCAGTCTGACAGCTCTCCAGCTTCCTCCTTTTCCTGACCCATATTTTGTAATAGATATGGTCCCAATAAATATCTTGCACGGATAAACCCCTCCCAGTGTCTGTTCCTCAGAGGACCTGGACTGACCCACTAATCCTAGATCTGACCAGAGAATTTTATCATCTGAAGGGAGGAGCAAGAAGGAAAGGGATGAAAACAGACTGCATCCTGATGCTGTATTTACACACTTCATTTCATTCAGTCCTCCCTGTGAGGCAGATAATATGCCCCCCCCCAATTACAGAAAGGGAAACTGAGGCTCAGAAAGCTAAGATGCTTGCTCAGCAGTAGAGCCAAGGAGCCAAACTCAGGTTTGTTCCACTCCAAGGCTCTTTCTAGTTTCTGCTCGAGGTAACAAGACATTAGTGACCACGTTGGTTCAGTCTTGCATTTTACAAACAGAGAGGCTGAGACCCTGTGGGGAGGTATGTGGTGGCCTCATTCTTTCCCTCCTTGCCTCATTCTTCCAACAAATATTAATTGATAATTTGCTATCTGTTAAGTACCGAGATGGTGCTGGGTTTGGTGAGGTAAATAAAACAAGACTCCCCCAGGGGACTGCAGCCTAGAGCTGAGACAGACATAAAGCCAGTGACAGTATCACCCGTAATGGCTATGACTTGGAGATATGTTCAAAACAAAGTGTGAAGAAAGGGGATGGGGCCTGGAGGAATCTGGGTGGGCTGCTCAGAAGAGGAAGCCTTTGATCTAAGACATGAAGGAAAACTGGCATTTCACCAGGGAGTCAAATTGGAACAAGCCATTCTTGACAGGTAAACAGTCTCAGCAAAAAGCACGGAGACCAGGGAGGCCAAGGAGGTCAGGGGGCACATTTGTAGCAGGGCATAGTGGGGAGAAGTTGGGGAGATGAGACTGACAGACAGAGGCTGGGCTGGGAAGCGCCTGGTGTGCCATGCAAAGGGCTCTGGACTGTACGCTGAGGATGCTGGGAAGCAGGCAGGTATTCTGAGCAGCAAAGGACCCAGGGGGGTCATCCAGTTGGCAGAGTAGAGGGTTAGCCTTGAGGAAGCAGGCTGAGGCAGGAGGACCAGGTGGAGTAGTCCTGGTGAGACATGGTGGGTTCCTTGAATAATGACACTGGAGGTGTGAGCAGAAGGTAGACAGCGTGTGTGAGGTTGTGAGGGGGCTCTAGGAACCTCCTCAGTGGGGAGGAGTATTTCTGTATCCTGCAGGTGGAGAGACCAGAGAAAGTGCTTTCTCCAAGGTAGTGTGACCTCCTGAAACCCTCGTCTGCATATTGTCTCTGTTCCTATCTTTTTGAATTGATGTCCTGGGCAAAAAGAATGACCTACCACCGAAATTGGGCCTGAGAAACTTGTTATATCCTGCTGTGAGATTCTCAAAGCCAGGCAGGGACAGCTTGTCACTTCTGCTGGCCTTGATGTTAAACTGATTCCCCTGGATGCACATCCTGGAAAAGAAAATGGGTTTCGGTGCACATGCTTGCTTGCATGTGGATAAACATGCATACACACAGACTTGAGCTTGTGTTTGCATGTCTGTATGTGGTTGTGCTCAGATATGAGCAGTAACTTCCCCAAAGAGAAATCTCTGATTTTCAGCTGCTGAATTAATACATGTCCCGATCCCACTCCATTTTATTACCCATTTGCTATATATCACAGTGTCATGCTAATTTGGGAACACTCCAAGCACCTTCCCCCGCAAACCCAAGGGGTTCGTCCATCTATGACCCTTTTGGAACCTTGACTTCTCCAGATAGAATAACTGGCAAGAAGTTGCATTTGTCCTGGTGCATCAGGGAGGTGAAGGCCTGACGTTCTGTCTCACGGTTGCTAAGTAGAAAGCGCTGCTGCCCCTCCCACCACATGCAAAACCCAAAGCAGTTCAGCTCAAAGCCACCGTGGGGTAGCAAAGCTCACCTTCCAGTGAGGAGACTCAGACACATGAAGGTCAAGTGGAGACTGTGCCTCATGTTGAGGAGCTGCTTATGCAGAGAGGGGCTGAAGTAGAAATACCTGGGGAAACAGACGGGGTAGGTGAGAGGCAGACAACCCAAAAGCCTCACCTCCTCCCAGCCCAGCTTTTCTGTCCTGTGGGGCGTCAGTTACAGCATTTTCTCCACGTCTGTGGGGAGCAGCCTCTTCCCACACCTTTCCGTTTCAGCTCCTGCCCCCTGAATGTCATCCAGGAGTGACTTCATATTGAAGGATCACATTTTAAATCCAGCCCAAATAAAGGCTGAGGACTTGTTTAGAGAGTGGTTCACCAGAGCAGAAATATAGCTGGTCCACCCTGAGCTGAATATCTGGGGAGCCCCAGGACTATCCCCCCCCGTCCTTTTCCTGACTTTGCCAGGGAGGACATCCTCGACTACACACTCCCCCTGATCACGCCATGTATCTGAGGGTCTAGGCCTGTTAAGCAGGTCACGTAGCCAGGAAATGAAAACTTCCCGAGGACCTCCATGTGCCAAGGAATGTGTTAGGTACTTTCCCGCAGATCTTCTTGCTCTATCCTCACAATGGCCTTGTGAGATGGGCAGGTTAACCCCTGCATTGTGTTGAGGAAACAGAACTCACGGAAAGGTCACTGTGCTAGAGAATGTCAGAGGAGACTCTGAAGCCAGGGCTGGCCGCCTCAAGACCCAGTCACACTGGCTGCTCTCCCAACCTCCTGGACCTGCTCCCTGGGTGCTTTGAAGCAGTTCAGATGCTGTGGGTGAGCACTGTATGCGTGCGGACTGTCAGGGTAGGCATGGCCCAGGGGCATGGCCTCCTCAGGTTTGGGAGCTGCTGTCAGATGTCTCTGAGAGAGCAACAGACAGTCAGGCAGGTGAGCCTGTGACCCGTCATGCTGGTGACAGCAGAGTGGAGGTTCTTGGGGTGGGGGTGAGGGCTCAGGTCGCATTCCCAGGCAGATCCAGGCTGGGTCATACCCTCTGCTTTGGTAGCTTCTGTGAACCAGGCCACTTTCTAGAGTCTTGCCATTCTGGGGCTTAGGGTGCAATTCAGCCATTAATTAACATTATTTTACTTAAAAAACAAACACATGCTTATTGTAGAAATGGAAATGAGATAGAGATGTATGCAGTCAGAAGTGTAAATCTCAGTGATGTGTCATTGTAGGGTTATCAATTTAACAAACGTACACTCTGGTGGGGCACATTGATGGTGCAGGAGGCCGCGCACGTGTATGCGGCTCAGTTTTGCTGTGAACTTAAAACTTCTCTGAAAAGTAAACTCTCTTAAAAAAACAGTGTAAATCCCTCCCTCACTCCTCTCTAGTCTCATACCTCCGAGATGACCACTGTTAACAGTTGTTTTATCCAAACATCTACTATGTTTATATATACACATATATCTTTGCAGGAAGAAAAATATTTAACAGCAAAATTGGGATGATAGCGTGCATATATTTTTGCTATTTACATTTTCACTTAATAATAAAGCAAATCTTTATTGAATATTGAATGCATGCTTGTACTGTGCCAAGAACCTCTCCAGTCCTCACAACAACTTTTTGGAGTAGTAACTACCATTCTCATTTTACAGATGAAGAAACTGAGGCTTAGAGAGGATAAGAAAAGTCCCAAGGTTACATAGCACGTGAGGGACAGAAGTGAATCCAGGTAAGCTGAACCAAGAGCTTTTTTTTTTTAGCATTTTTATGGTTTTGTTTATTTTACTTGCACCTTTTTTTAAAAAAATTGAAGTATACTTGATTTACAAGTGCTTTTAATCACTGCACCTGACACATACTCTTTCCCAATGTCAGTGGGACGTTTCCATGTCATTTCCTATAGATCTGCCTCATTCTTTCTGACGGCAGCAAGATATTTCATAAGATCAATGTATTAACATTTATATAACACATGTCCTATATAGATACTAAGTTATTTCCAAATTTTTTACTGTTACAAAATCAGTAATGAACATCTTTGCACGTATGTAAGCTCCTATAATTCTGCACTCTGTCATGTTTCTCTACCTCAGTCTTTTCTTTCTCACGCATCAACAATACCATTATCAATCCACCAATGGTCATAATCAAACTTTCTCCCTTTAGTTCATTTCCTCAACCCTTGTCCTTCCCCTTATCCCCAGCATCGAGTTTAAGAAGCAGAGGTAGCTCCGACATGTGCAGGTTTCCACTCCCATTCCCAGAATTGCCATCACATAAATACTGTGAGCTCCAAACTTGTCATATTAGCCTCCTTCCTACACAGGCACTGTTCCTCTGTCATCAGTCTCTTCAGTATAGACAGAAACACTTGTTGGGAAGCAGGAGTGGAGCCTGAATTAGGTTGAGGTGAGGAAAGGCATTATTACCATGGGTCCACCTTGAGCAAATCACAGAAGGTGAAGGTGAAGGTGTGTGTCCCGGGTGGCAACACAGACAGGAACACCTGTGGCTCGAGCATCAGACAGAAGGTGCTCTACTCTTAACCCTGCGCTTGCTCTGAGATTGTATTACTTCTCCCTGAGGTTCAGTTTCCTCCACTGTAAAAGGGATAGGAATCAATAGTTCTTCAGATGATGGTGAAACCTGATACAAAGTAGGTGCTCAGCAAATTCCAGACCCGACCCCCTTCCCTCAGTCCCAGCAGGGCTTATATTTGGATCCCCTTCCCTTTCCTCCCTTCAGGCACCGGGAGGGGCCAGCAGTTCCCTTACCAGACAGCTGCCAAGGCTCCGTTAGGACAGGTCCTTCAGGTCTTCACGCTGGGCTTTCAGGTAGGGCATGGTCTTCTGGGTCCCCGAGATTCTCCCCATCATCAGCCCATACCCCCTGGGTGCAGGCACACAGTCACTCTCTGATGGAGTGGATCTCTCTGCGGGAAAGACAGAGCTGCAAGACCAGCCAGGCAGACAGGTGGGTGGAGCCTCTCCCAGCTCCCCCTCTGGGTGGAGCTCTGACCAGGTTCTGGGTGTCTGTGGGAATCCTCAGCTCCGGCTAGGGCTGCTGGCTGCCAGGCCTTTGATTCTGAGTTGCGTCTCAGCCATGCTCCTGGACCACAGCCAGAAAAGACTCAAGATCAAAGACCCATGAAAGTCAAATAAAATGGGTAACGCCACCCATCATGTCTGGAAGATGAGTCTCCGGTTCTGAATATGGAGGACACCCCTCTGTCCTGGTATAATGGAATGGGGGTTTGCAGTGTGTATGACCTTGGACAAGCCATTCCACCTCTCTAGTCCTCAGCTTCCCATCCATAAAATAGAACTTGACCATTTCTAAAATTCTGATTCCTGGTTACGTATTTGAAAAGCTTCTTTGGGATCAATAGAGAGCCTTGTCTATGTAAAAGGAGACTTGCAAATGCCAGGACCTTGTGCTTTCCACTCTGGGAAGTTTCAAAAAGAGACATAGGGGTCAAGAGAATGGGGGATAGAGGCTGAGCAGGCCAACCCAGGAAGAGATAGGAGAGATTCTGGGAGAAATTTGGCTAGGTTTCTAGGTTGCTCCCCCTTCCCCATCCCTACCCCTCACACAGAGGATTTTCCATTCCCCACAAAGTCCATTTTAGGAGCATCCTTCTTCCATGGCCAGTTGAACCTCCTAACAGAAGTGCTTCACAGTGTTCTCTGAGCCCTCAGTCCTCCCTGTCACTATAGCCAGTGACCTCGAAACTCACTCTTGGCTCCAGCCCTGTGGGAAGGCACAAGGAATTCCCTGGAGGCTTGGCCTTGCACCCTGAGAGAGCTGGGAGCCAGCAAGGGAGTCAAATGGAGAGGCCCAGGAGAGAGCTGAGTCTGTGGCAAGAGGCCCTGCAGCACCTCCTACCCTCTTTTTTTTTTTGCGGAACGCGGGCCTCTCACTGTTGTGGCCTCTCCCGTTGCGGAGCACAGGCTCCGGACGCGCAGGCTCAGCGGCCATGGCTCACGGGCCCAGCCGCTCCGCAGCATGTGGGATCTTCCTGGACCGGGACACGAACCCGTGTCCCCTGCATCGGCAGGTGGACTCTCAACCACTGCGCCACCAGGGAAGCCCCCTCCTACCCTCTTGACATCATTACTGAGCTCCTGCCCAGACCCCTACCTGTCTTGGAGGTGGGAAGGTGGGGAGATAGGGAGACAGTAGAAGGGGGAGCAAATGGAGCTTCAGGAAGTGAAAGGAGGTAGGAAGGATGGAGTGGGCCTCCATGTACAATGCCCCATAGATGCCTTTGGCTCCAAACTAGTTTCCTTAGAGTGCCCCTGCAGCCCGGCCAGCCTCGCAAACATTTCTGTGCTGGTTGGTGGGGAGTAGGTGCCTGAAGAGAAAGCTCTTTGATTTCTCCTGAGAGGCCTCACTTTCACCTGAGAAACTTGAAGGCGTCTGGAAGTAGTTTGGGGCTTTTCTCAGAATTTCCAAGATGTTCTTACATAAAACAAAGGCTCAAAAGTAACAAAGACAGTTTGGAGCTGGGAGATGGGGATGGGAGGAGTGGGTATCCTCTGGCTCAGGAACAGTAAGACAAAAGAACATTGGGCAGCTAGCTGGGTGGCTTTGCCAAGTTACTTAACCTCTCTGTACCTCACTTTCCTTATCTGACAAATGGGGATGATATCATTGCCTATCATTCAGCAATGATAGGTTTGATATCATATCTGAAATCACCTGGCATTTTGTACCTGGCACGTTGTAGATGCTCAGTAAGTTGTTCTTTTCATCTGATGTTGTTAGTATCTTCTCATGTTTGTACTTAACCTATTTACTCCTCCATCCAAGTATCTATCTATCTATCTATCACTTACCCAACCATCCAGTATTTAATCTTCCCAATCAGATTGTTAATGCTTTCATTGCATGGGCTTATATTGTACTTCTATGTAAGCATTCAGTAAGTATTTTAATAGACTGATTATATCAGAGCCAGGGCAAGCCAGACCTCAAGTTAATAAAGTAGGTATGATAAGGCTTCTTATCTCCCAGCTTCAAACAATGCTTCAATCTAGTGCCAGCTTCTTTCTTTGATTTCTGTCAGATCAACTGAAGAAATGCTTAGAGTGGGGAGTTTCCAAGAAAG